CGTTCGTAATAACCTTGATACTCCGAAGTCATCGACAATGCATCAGCTTAGCAAACATTTCTACAGATACTCTGTACAAATTGTCATTTTGCTGGCACTTTTGTCCTGGCGTGTGATCTAGCTCCACCCGAAAAGCATCGCGAATGATGAATCGTAGTCGACCCCCCGTCCGTCCCCCGACGCCTGCAGGCGCGCCTTTCCTGATGGATGGTCTTGGGGAACACAACAGAGCGAACCTGCAACTCGCATCGACATCCTTTCCTGCCATTGGAAGGTTAGTTAAGTCCGGAGTTGGTCAGAAGGGCATCTTTCCAACCGAACCAGGTTCTCGACGTTCAATCAATGCACATGTTGAACCAACACTCGACGCGTTAATTACCCATCCTTTCCCCAAGATCTTCAGTTCCGCGAACAACGACGGAAACGACAGGTGGTAAACATCCGATCATGGCCGCTCCGTCAATGAGACCGGGAAGTCGGACACATTGACTAGTTACCTCACCCGGCGGACAGGCTCCTGTTGGCGGGACGGGGAGAAAAGGCTAAAACCGTGATCCGCCTCAAGAAAGAAGCGAGAGCCGAAATCAATTGCACGAAATCAATTGCACTCCACGTGGAGCCCCCGCTCCATTTGCTTTGCTCCGAATGGTTTTTTTAATATCTTCCCCGCCTTTTCTCCGACAGTGTACGGGCCCACGGCATGTACATCTATTAGCCGACATGCTGCATCTCGAACAACTCCATCTCTGGTAGAGCATCATTCTCCATGGCACCCCCGCATATTCATAGTGCGCCGAGGGGCAATGGCTTGCCGGTGATGGCAAATGGTGTTAATGTGAAGTCCCAGACACCATGTGTTTGTGTTTGCCCTACCCCAACCCGGCCTTCGCAGAAGAAAAACCAACCTCACCAAGACGCCAATCTCAAGTGGCAGGCGTTCTGTTTCAAAGTTTCCGTTTTCCAACACCGAGCCATCGATGATCCTGTAGCCACCGAATTAGCAATTCCCAAAATCAACTAAAAACCTCAGCATGTTGTCGGACAGGCTCCTCGACACCTCTTTGTTAGCAAGATTACACACCGTCAACCATGCAGGCCTTCTCAATGTCATTCTGGGCCTTCTGTTCATTGCCATAGTTGCCATCGCGGCAGACTATGCCTGGATGCTCTACCTGAGGTCCAAAATGCCACCCGGCCCGTTTCCATGGCCCATCATTGGGAACACCTTCTCCCTCCCGGACAACAAGCCGTGGATCTACTTTGAAGAGCTATCCAAAAACTTTGGCACACCAGTGATTACATTTTGGATTGGGCGGCAAGTTTTGAACGCGGTACTAATCACACGTCTAATCTTTACTGATAAACTTCAAAACAGAAATCCCACGGTCTGGATCAATGACGCTTGGGCGGCCCACGAGATTTTTGAGAAAAAGGCGCAGATTTACACTTCGCGCCCGCGAATGGTTGTGTTTGGTGAGCTCGGCAGCGGCCAATCCAGCCTCGTGACAATGCAGATTCGCAACCAGCAGGAGCGCGACCACTGGCGCGTCCATCGCAAGCTGATGCACCTCGGCGTCGGGGTCCAGTCCGTCCGCGGCTACCGAGAGATACAGAACAACGAGAGCAAGCTTATGGCGTATGATTTCTTGCGTGAGCCGAAGGAGTACGTCAAACACTTGGAGAGGTATGCGACCAGTGTGGTTTCGATCATCGGGTTCGGCCGGCGCGTTGCGAGCTACAACGATCCGATTATCACCGAGGTGATTGCCTTGATGCAGCTAGCTGCCGACCTCAATGTCCCCGGAAAGTCGTTCCCAATGTTGCTTGAGACGTTCCCTTGTAAGTCATGACACCCCGGACAGTCGACCGCTTTCTCGCTTACCCTGATGCATCAGTTCTTGCCAAATTCCCGCGCTCATGGCCGTGGCCCTGGTTCAAGGGTCTCGGCACTCGCGGCCAGAAAGGTGGCCACTACTTTTTCTACAGCCTCGCCGAAGAAGCCATCGAGCAGTATAACCAAAAGTCACCATCCGAACAAGCCTCCATGCCGACTCCATACGTCAAAACGCTCTTCGGTGAAGCCAAGAAGTACAACCTCCCCGCCGCTGAACTATCTAGCCTCACCGGCAACCTCTTTGGCGCCGGTGCCGATACGTCCTCTAGTACTCTCATCACTTTCATCCTCGCCTGCTGCGCCTTCCCAGACGCCATGCACAAAGCCCACGCCGAACTGGACCGTGTAATTGGCGCACACCGGTCTCCGCACTGGGACGACGCGCCCAATTTACCCTACATCAACGCGTTCGTCAAGGAGGTCCTCCGTTGGCGCAGCGTTGCCATCATTGGTGGCCAACCACACTCGCCCACCCAACATGACACTTACCGTGGCTGGCTAATTCCCCGTGGAGCTTGGGTTCAGGGGAATGTCTGGGCCATCCACCATCACACACGCGAGTTCCCGGACCCCGACAGGTTCTACCCCGATCGGTACCTTCCCAAAAACGATCACCACCGGGCTTTCCCGGGGGAAAAAGGGTATATGACATTTGGCTGGGGGCGGCGGGTGTGTACGGGCCAGGCGTTGGCGGAGCAGGGAACGTGGATTTCGGTGGCGCGGTTGTTATGGGGCTTTGAGATCCGCAAGACGCGGGACGAGACCACCGGGAAGGAGATAAACGTTGATATCTTTGCGTTCACCAATGGGCTAAATATGAGACCTCAGCCCTTCCCGTGCGATATTACGCCACGGGACGAGGAGGTGAAGGAAACAATGTTGAGGGAAGGGCGACAGGCCCTAGCGGATTTGAAGATTCACGATGGCGAGAGTCGGTACCGGATGAGTACGTTTTACCAGCAGCAGAAGCGGAAGTTTACGAGGGAGCCGGTAATTGATGAGCAGGGAAACGTCAAATTCGTCAATGTCAAAGGGGTGTAATCAACCTTGGCAATCTTCAGGAAGGTGCTGACACAGGTGACAGGATATCCGCTAGCTCTTATTAACTGCCGATTAATTAATAGTTAATTAACTAGCGGTTGTGAAGAGTTTTTTTAGTGACCACTTCGTACTTTTCCGATCGTCAAGATAATTAATTCTAGAAGGATCTCATGTGAAATGTAATGAACCTTGGTGTCGATGCTTCCAGGATGATATTCAAGAAGGCAGATTTCATTTTTCCACAATCCTACTTCCGTACACCGTGTGTCTTGTCTTGCATGGAAGAAAAAGGGGTAACCGACAACCCTAACCCTGTCCTCGCCCGTCGGCGGAAAACGGCTTCCATTTTTGTACCCAACTATCACAGAGGCGCGTGACCGACCTGGAGCATGTGTCTGGGTGTGCGGGGATCTGTTTGGACATCATTCCCCGCAAGGTTGTTTTGTCGGAGAGAAATTGGATTCGGCAGATGAGGAGAGCGCGGGTGAGGAGCCCCATCGGGTGAGAATAGCCTGATGATTACAGCGAGCAGTCCGACTAATTACTGCAAGAACCGTGCGGAGACCGTGAACGGCTTTGAGTGCAGTTGGTTCCGGAACAAGCACCCCGCATAGCTGAAGGTATCATCACATGGCATACCCTTTAGTACCCCTCGCTGTAATTTTAGTTTTCACAATTCAATCAGCGAAGCGAATTGCCTGCGGAAGCGAACAGTGTTCTTCTCCCGCACAAGAAACATCTCCTAAACCCATCTGTCTCACTCTCGCTGGACCTGCACATCTTTCCCATGACCATGCCGCAATCCGGTATCAAAGTGGTCATTGTTGGCGCCGGCTTTGGCGGCCTGACGGCAGCCATCGAATGCCACCGACAAGGCCACGACGTCCGCGTCTATGAAAGCTTTCCTGAGCTCAAGACCCTTGGCGACATCATCTCTTTTGGCGCCAACGCGGGCCGTATCTACCACCGCTGGTCTGAAGGTCGTGTCGTACAACGGCTGCGCGAGCTATGCATCGATCTTTCGTCGTACGGGTTCCGCATTCATAAGTACGATACGGGCGAGGTGGTGTATCATCAGAGAAACCCACCAGGTGACCCTAAAGCGCCAGTGCTGAATGGCCATCGCGGAGAGCTCCACCAGGTTGTCTTTAACTACGCGCGGGATGAGCTGGGAATCCCGATTCACTTAGGCCAGCCGGTTGGGGAGTACTTCGAGGACGAGGAACAGGCAGGGATTGTGTTGCAGAATGGGGAGCGGGTACTGGCGGATCTGGTGATTGGGGCGGACGGGGTGCGGTCCAAGGCGAGGGAGCTCGTTCTCGGATACGTAGACAAGCCCAAAAGTAGCGGGTATGCCGTGTGGCGGGCCTGGTAGGTCGTAATCCTTTGCCTCTTCAACATAATCATAACACCAGCTGAGATGCATTGCCACAGGTTCTCTAACACCGACATGATCCAAGATCCGCGCACACGCGAGTTCTGTGCCCACGGCGACAGCTTCAATGGCTGGATTGGCCCCGATGTGCACTTCCTATTTAGCACCATCAAGGGTGGCCAAGACTGTTGTTGGGTGTTGACTCACCGCGACGAACACGATATTGATGAATCTTGGTCCTTCCCCGGCCGGCTCGAGGACGTGTATCGCGTGCTCGAGGGCTGGGACCCAATCTGCCGTGCCATCGTGGAGAAGACACCCAGCTTGGTCGACTGGAAGCTGGTGTACCGCGACCCGCTGTCAACGTGGGTCAGCCGGCACGCAAGGATTCTGTTGCTGGGCGATGCGGCGCATCCGTTCCTCCCGACCAGTGCTCAGGGTGCGACCCAAGCGATGGAAGATGGAGTGACCATTGCGGTGTGCCTGAAGAGGGCGGGCAAGGCTAACGTGCCGGCCGCAGTGCGGGTACACCAAGAGATACGGTGAGCTACCAGACTGTGCTAAACATCCACATCGCCCGGCAAGACAGGAACTGACACCGGACAGATATGACCGCGTTGGAGAGGTCCAAAAGACCGGCGAGACCACGCGCGACCGCTGGCACAAAACGGACTGGGAGACTGTGGCCAAAGACCCCAAGAGCATCGCGTTTCCGCGCGAGGACTGGATCCACGCCCACGACGCAGAGAAGCACGCCAATGAGACGTTCGACGAGTTGTTCAAGAAAGTGACACAGCCAGAGCTGTTTGAGAACGTGAAGCTACGGCCGATTGGGCCTATTGGAGTGACGGTTGGGTGACAGGAGAGGAGATTCGAGTCGGTGTTCATTATGTAGGTAGGTAGGTAGGTAGCCAGTAGCCTAGCTCAGAGGTGGACTGCATTTGAGCCTTCGAGGAGGACAAAGATGAACGAACAACCAGCTCCAAGCCCAACCATTGAGAAAAGCCAGGTTTACTCCTCACCTATCTGCATAATCACACTCTTCGTCTCCAAAAAGTTGTCCATGCTGTACAGCCACCCCTCCCTCCCTTGCCCACTGCTCTTATACCCGCCAAACGGCAAATCAATTCCGGTCGTTGGACTCGTGCAATTCACCCCGACATACCCGCTCTCCAGCGCCTTCGCTACGCGCATCGCCCGGTTCACATTGCGCGTGTACACGGATGCGTAAAGCCCAAACTCGGTGTCGTTCGCTTTGGCAACGACCTCGGCCTCGGTCTCGAACGTGTTGATGATCACCACGGGCCCGAACACTTCCTCCTTCATGATCCGCGCCGTCTCGGGGGTGTCGAGGAACACGGTGGGCTCAACAAAGAAGCCCTTGGTACCTTCCACTGCCGTCTTTCCCCCGCCCTGAGCCAGCGTACCTGATTTCTTGCCTTCCTCGATGTAGGCCAGCACGTTGCGGTACTGCACCTCATCTGCCTGCGGGCCGTGATTGGTGCCTTTGTCCAGGGGATTCCCCGGCCGCGTGCTGGATGCAGACTTGGCCTTGAACGCCTCGACGAACTGCGCGGCAATGCTCTTTTGTACGTAAATGCGGGAGTTGGCCATGCACACCTGCCCACTGTTGAGTTGGACGCTGAAGTAAGTCTGCGCCACGGCCTTCTCGAGGTTGGCATCCTCAAAGATGAGCGCCGGGGATTTGCCGCCGAGCTCGAGGATGACTTTCTTAAGGTTGGTCCTCGCAGCTTCTTCCTGTATCAACTTTCCGGTGCGGCTGGAGCCGGTGAAACTCAGCACCCGCACGTCCATGTGGCGTGAGAGAACCTGGCCAGAGGGGATGCCGTGGCCGGAAATGATGTTGAATACACCAGGAGGAAAGCCGGCTTCTTTAACAAGTTCGGCGATGCGGGCCACGGCCAACGGTGCCTTTTCGCTGGACTTGAGGACCACCGTGTTGCCTGTAATAAGGGCTGGGGCAGATTTAGTTCCCAAGAAGAGGCACGGGGCGTTCCAGGGAATTATCAACGCCACGACGCCATACGGCTGGCGAAGCGTCATCGTGACCATGCCGGGTGTGTTCACGCTGGCCTGCCCTTGGATCGAGGGCCATGCCTCCGAGTAGTGCTCGAAGTTTGTCGCTGCGGCAGCGGCATAGTGGTGTGTTGATACGGGCATCCCCATGGAAATGGCGTCCAGCCGGGCCAACTCCTCCTTGTTCTCGCAGATCAAGGCGGCCAGTCTCTTGAGGTAGCGAGCTCGTTTTGCACCGCCCAGCGCGGACCACGACGGGAATGCTGCCTTAGCTGCGGCTACCGCGGCATTGGTATCGTCCGCGCTCGCCTCGGGGACTGGTTGAGGTTAGGAGGATCTGAAAGACGGCCAGATAGGAAACCAGAACTTGCCGTGCGCAGAGACTTCTCGAGTCGCCGGGTTATGGACGGCGAATGTTTTGCCATCAGATGCCTCGACAAGCTAGCCCGTGTTGATTAGCCTTTTCCTCATCTGCAGTACACGTTGTTTCGATTGACATAAACGGAGGCCAATACCTCCCCGTTGATGAGCATTCGAGTTGGGATATGAGCGATGTTCTCCATATTAGTTGCTCAATTTTGTCGTGGGGTGAATATAGCGTCAAGGAAATATACACGAGGAAACGCATACGATATTGAATCTGGTTGGAGTGACGTGCAACGTTGGGTCCTGTCATCAAGAAGGCACCCGTAAATTCGAGAAGAGATGGGCCGGTACCAACTTGAAGACGGGCCTTCTCCCGTTCAATTTGTACTCTCCAGTCTCCACACGGCGTGAAATAATACGCCCTCCTTGATGCAAGCACGTATTGAAACATGGCCCAATAACACATTGCCCCTTTTAGTTAGAGCCGGAGATATTTGGAGAGCAACCCTTTGTAATTATCTCCGAAGCGAGCGAAAAGCCAAGAAATAAAGATCTCCATAAGATGACCAGGCTTACAGGTAATGTCCTATGTACTATGTAAACGGTTTCTTGCTGTTCAGTATCTTCTGTCATCAACTTTTAGCCCTTGGCAGACTTTGTCCTCGCCTCGGCCCCGCGAGATCGCCTGATGATCTGATAATTAGGGTTTCAACCAACAAGAGCCTCGGGTGTCGTCTTGGCAATGAAGATTACCAGATCAACTGAGCCAGTCCCCATCCCATTACCAGCACAAGCCGGCCTTTTTTCTGCCGCCGCCAGTTTGTCGGCGTCGGCTCGCTTTTACCGGAGCTCGGAGCAATGTTCTTCGAGGTTCTCGTTCGTGAGGACGGAGACGAATCGATCGGCCCGCCAAAGAAAGCTCCGAAAGCACAAGACTCTCCCGGTGTTGCGTTTCTCGTCAAGGATGGCCAATGTAGAGGGGTGGGAGATGTTCGATCGACAACCCCCGTCACGTTCGACCCAAATCTCCCACATCGGGTCCCTTGGCTTTCTCCCTTAGGTAGTTTAACTTACAAACCTGGATCGATACTGTAATCGCACCGCTTACTATGGACACGGCTGTTCCAATGGATTACTTGGATTGATCTTCCATGCCGAATTTTCTTTCCGTAACAAACCCTGTCAGGTGGCCCCACAAACCCAGCAAAAGCCATAAATACAAGTACTGATTATGTAGCGGCGCATGCTCTGTGAGAGGAACTGAAGAGAGAACTCGCGACTATCAGGTATCAAAGAGAAACTCGAGAGTTCCCCCTTTCGACTAGTTGATCCCACCTGCATTGTGCATTCCCCAGGTTGATAAAAGCTATATTCACTAACATTCAAACTGCGAATAGTTACTAGAGGGAGCCGGGCTCCAACTATATTCAACCACAAACCCGTCTTGTTTTGGTCAAGTCGCCATCAGAATCACGCGTGGAGAGAAGGGCAGGGGGGCCGTGGCCTGCGCGGGCCGCGCCCGGGGCCGGGATGTGAGTTGCGTGGTCTTTGCTTTCCATGAGGATAAGTTTTCGCTGCGAAGGAGAATGAGATTTTGGCGATGCATACAGTACGCCCAGACTCGCTGAGGCCAAAAAAAGCGGCAGACTAAAACAGAGAGATTAAGTCTATTAACTATAAACATTCGATTAAAGCTTAAAAGATTTTGATTGATCTACTCTTTTTCGTTTTTTTTTCACGTTTTTGGTTTATTCTTTTTTGTCTTCTTTCACTTTTTTTGTTTATTCTTTTTGGTTCTTTTTCACTTTTGTAGAAAAGTAATTTCGGTATTCAGTGACTTTGTCTGCCGCATTTTTTGGTCACACTCGTTACCCCTCACGCAACACGACCAGCAACCTGAAGGCTTGAAACAGAAGACAGCAAAGAAGTGGGGCCTCGGCTTGCGACCTTCAACCCCCCTTTTTGCCGTGGTCAACCAAACGTTGCCAACAGTGTTCGACTGGGCGGAGCCTCTCTTCACTAAGTGGGAGTGAGCTGGATGTACGAAGTCAGCTTTCCTATTCCCTGTCTTTACAGTCTACACTCGTATGGCTCGGCACACTCATATCAAACCTTTACAGCGTCGATTCCGTGACCGAATTCCAATGCCGGAATCTGATCGCGACGCCCCACAGTGGTCAACAGCCCGCCGCAAGCCTGCAGCGAAAGATCGGCCGGATTCTGGCTCGCGTTCAGGGTCTGGGGGTTTGAAAGTTCCAGCCGATGGGAAAGCACCACAGGAGCGTCAGGCCAATCACGAACGTTATAACCGTGTCCCCAACTTAGCAGCCCGTCGCCCCTGGAGTGCATCTCTCCTCGCCGCTCTGTATAACCGAAGCACCAAGTTGCAAGCCACACCTAACCCCCAGCCCTGATCAGCCCTATCCCATCGTATCCCATCACCCCATAAGCGCATGAGAAATGGAAAAACAGGCTTCGATGTCTTGGGCTGACGTCCCAGGATTTCCCTCAAGAGATGCACAACAAATGCATCTGGACGGGGTGTCTCGGTCAGAACTTGGGAACGTGGGAAATGACGGGATGGTGGCAGGGCGCAAGCGACACGGGCTTGCCGCTTGAGCGACAGCAACAAATGAGCGTGTCGCCAAATGTTCGTCCGACTGGAGCGGAGCTGTTGCAATTGCAACCGGGCCTGCGCATCGCTGGCCAACCTGCCTGAAAGGGGCAGGGCCACCGGCTGATCGCTGAAAGTAAAGTTGGCCCGTCTTACGCCAAGAGCCTCATCCCGGTCCGTCCCACATGCTGGCTGAGCCCAGGTCTGTGGGGAAATGGGCGTTTTCAGGGTGCTTCCAGATGTTCGAGAGCCTCGAGCCTGGGGCCTTCAAAAGTTGCGCTCCCCTCCAGCAAGCGTGAGCCACGGCGTTGGTTGTTATGCACCAACGCCATCTCCCACAGGAACGCCACATCTTGTTAGCTCCTCAAGCATACATAGTAGGCGCAAACATCAAACGACAGAGCCGTCTGAACAAACACATGCCCAACATGGGACGCAAGGCCGACGAGAACCTCCCGGAAGTGGTGCAGAACCAGCCAGCGCCCCGAACGGGCGAGTACGCACCCGAAGTGGTCCCAGATTCATCCCCCGAAGCCGCACAGCAGAGATATTTCCAGGAATCCGATAAGTATCCCGCATTGTACGACAATTCGCCAAAGTTCCCCCACGAGCCACCACCGCCCGGCGGTTACTCGCCGGACCAACAATACCAGCAGCCACACAACCAGGCGTGGAGTCCCGACGCCGCGTATCCCGTCAGTGCTGTCAGCCCAAACAGTTCCGTCCCATGGCAGTCGTTTCCTGATGGTGGCGAGGACCAACAAACCTACGTCGGTAGCGAGCCGCCGGAGCCAGAGAAGCGCATCTGTGGCCTACGCAAGCGCACGTTCATAATCGTCGCGGCGATTCTTGGTGTTGTGATTGTGGCCGTGGCGATAGGTGGCGGCGTGGGCGGTGCAATGTCTGCGAGGAATTCGAGCGCGGCCGCGGCAGAAACATCCTCTGCAGCAAGTTCAACGGCCAGGTGAGTTAGCCGTGTCCACCAGTCACGTTAAACTCACAATCAGTACTAACAAACCGTAGCCCCAGCAGCACGTCATCATCAGCATCAGCCTCTGCTTCATCCACAACTTCTGAGGAACCAACGCCGACGCCGACCTCCCTTGTGAACACCGACCCCAGCGTGTTCGACCAGCGTATTGCCTTCCAAGGATGGAACAAGGAGAACATCACCGGCAAGGCCACCCAGATCTATCCGCACCTAGGCGTATACGACCTAGAATTCCCCATTCACAGCTATATCTGGGTCTCGAATCAAACCGACTGCTGCGTCAACTTTTGCGACTTGGATGCGAAGCAGCATGGTTACGCTTGTTCCTCCAAGTGGCAAAACCACAGCTCTTTTGCCTTCCCACGTATTGTTCTTTGGTGTGGGAATCGGAACCACGTGCCAGATCAGCAAAGGTGTAAATAAGGCTGAAGCCTGAATGAAGTAGTCAAAAAGGGGGAGGATATTGTCAAGGTGTAAACGGTCTGGCGTCGGGGCGGGTTCGGATTCATTGGTTTTGTTTCGTGTTTCTTTTTTCCTCACTTGATGTACGTCATGGATGATACCTTTTTTGGGGCTCGAGTTGGGGGAACCGGCCGGGCGGCGCGGGATCGCATGTCGATTACATGGTTACCTACTCAGATGAATGCATCCATACTCAACAACGGCTCCTCCAAATTACAGCATTGCAAGCCACAGGCGAACAATTCTCCAAGTGTCGTCCTTCCAAAGTAGTAAAGTTCCTCAAATGAGCTGGTCGACCGAGCTGAGCTGCAACCTTCTTGTTCGACTGCAAAGACATTCGGTGCATGATGTCGTGCTACGCTTCTTCCCTTTCCAGCCCCCTGCGTCCCATCCAGCTTCTGCAGGACCCCGGTCGATGGACAGACAGCACGCACTTGCAGCAGCTTCTGCCGTGTTCTGTGTGCCTGCCAGAAAAAATCAGAAAGGGGCCAGCGATAAGCGAATGTCGGTTGCGCCCCTTTTCACGTGGGGTTCTGCCATTCATCCCAAGGGGAAATCATTGCGCCGTACCCGAGCTGAGAGTGCTGTGCCGCAGAGCGCAGGCGAGGGCTCTCTGGAGAGTCTCTTGGGTCTTGAGCCGGGCAGAAGGGTCTGTTGGGCAAGGGGGCACAGGACAGTGCCACATTAATTAGGTAATTACAGTGTACACTAGAAAGTACATTACATTCCAACAACGGGGCTAAAAATAGGACAAATCGTTTACCTCATACAGCGCTCCAGAAACCAGTGGGCTTTCCCATGACGAAACGATCTTCAACATGCAGCTGGCCCCCGTCTGTCGTCAGACAGGCGAGAGTTGGGAAGGCGGAAACTGGCGATTGATTGGTGGGGCTAGGGCATGATTTTGACAGCCAAATGTCGGGTGGTGGTATTGTGGCCACCATGTGTACATTAACGTTTTTTACACTGCGTTAGTGTGGTTTGGACATGTAGAAATATTCAAAGGTTGGTTGGTTGGCACGTTGGGTAAGGGGGATGCGAAGGGCGGTGGGTGCCTCTGGGTGAGTGGGAGGCAAGCCCTCGGTCTCTGATAATCTGATCTGATCTGGCGGCTGCAAGATCCGTTCCTGACCTCGGTCAACGAATAGAGGATACGGAAACATGGTGCCGTCGCCTTAGTGCTGGGAAGTTGGAGTGATAGCTTTCAGGTTCTAGGTCAACAACCTCCTTTGAGGAGCCGGGTTCGGAGATAAGAGGTTTACTAGATGTTCACTGTTTCCTACCTAGGTAGTCAGTGAGTGGCAGCGATAAAATCTGTTTTCCAGGTTGCGGTTTTGATCAACAGAAGATCCCGAGCAAGAAAATAAGGTAAAACCGCCCCGAATCAGAGGACAAAGTAAAAAGGTATCGAGATGTATCTCTGGGGCTGGTCTCCCGCGCTCGAAAACAATATCGTAGATATTTATTCGGCGCATTTTGTCAAACCGGGTTCTCCGAAGACCGAAATTAGAGAACGGTCCCGTTTTCCACAACTCCGGGATGGCCACGTGCCCAAACCCACCAATACCGGGTCCGTCTTTTGGATTCACACCGACTTACTGCTCGACCTGCCTACGGGCACTCATTATTAGTGTTCCCGTCGTCAAAGCTCAGTGGCTCCTTGTGGCTCGGTTCAGTGCAAACATCCCAAGACAACAGTCCGTCCGCTGCTTCGAGCTTCATTCTCTCGGAGATGAAAATGTATCTCCAAAGCGACGCAACTTTCCGCAGATATTATCTGAGCAATAGAATTCTCCCAACGTGGTCACCGGCCTACTATGTAAAGAGAGCGCTGAATATGTAAGCAGGATGGCGTGAGATGAATCATAATGAATGGACTTGCATCACCAGGCCAAGCCGCACACAAATTGCCAAAACAGTCTCGCCGTGTTCGCTCTCGAGTCTTATCATATTTAATTTTTGGCAGATCTGAACTAAACAAGAATGAATCGCTGATAATTACATGGACGCCCCACGGTCTAGCGTTCTGGAGCTCAGAGTTTAGTATGATTCATTCTTGCTCAGAGTGACAAGTTCAAGACGATCGTGGGGGAGTCACATTTTGGGCATTGCCGAATACCGTAGAGAGATAGAATAAATTCCACAGGAATCACCGTGTTGTCAGAGTGTTGCTCGAGTTGTAGTGTCATATTCCCTTCAACCATCTTCCTAACGTGTGGTCGCTGCTAGGAGGGACCGTGTCCAGCTCAACTTAAGTACGAATGAAAGCGTTGCTTATCCTTCTGAAGTGAGTGTTATTCTCCCGCCTCAAGTCTTATATTTAGCTTCGTGATGTATCCAACGTTCCCTATTCCGATACATACCATGAGGAATACACCAAAACAATCCATGTCATGAGCCGACATCGTCTGAGAAGCACACCAAAATGGCTTTTTGGGTTTACGATCATTAACAAAAAACTGAGTGTTTGCTAATTAGTGAACAGATGCTAGTTTGATGTTGACACAGTTGGCGGCCCTATGATTTCCAATGAAATCTTCCACCGTATTGCAATAACTTGACTAGAGCCCCCCGGTTGACTTGGAAAAGTCTGGTACGTGTCAAGGGAAAAGAATACTTTTTGGGAGAACCGTGGTTTGTTTACGCTGACGTTTAGCATTCGGTAGGTGTGTCATGAAGGAAAGTTTAACTAGCATTTAATTTACATGGAGCAGCATAAAAAATAAGGTTAATTACACGTCCTGCGTTAAGACGGGGCAAACAAGGTGCAAACAAGGTGCCTGTTTGACATGAAAAGTATCACGGGTGTCCAAGACAGGAGAGACCATGTTGGACTCATTGAATGGAAAGAAAATGGCAGAATGGTATGAACGGATCTGGGGACAAAAATAATTCATCGATAAGTAGTGGTGGCCTTGACTCTTTTGGGGCCTGTGGCTGGCGGGACCCACTTTAACTTTCTTGCATGTCGGGTGCGTTGCCTTCTCAAATCTTTCCACTCCAACTCCTCAACATTACTGGCATCGCAACCACGATGGTCAAATCTACATACCAACCATCGGCTTCTGCTTTGCAGCCGCTACCGCCCGGCTGGACCGAACACAAAGCACCGACAGGCCACACATACTACCACAATGCCGAAACGAAAGAGTCGACGTACAAACGGCCGGGCGTCGCGCCCACCGCCCCATCGATCAACCCGGCGATGAACAGCTTTGTACAGCACCAGACCGTGCCCCAAGTCAATCTCTCTGATCCAAATGTGGCAAACGCATTCATGGCCCAATACGGCCAGCCACCTCCACACCAACAACGCGGCCAGCGAGGCGGGTCGGGGCCAGGTGCGCGAGGAGGATTCCAGGCGAGGCCAAGGCCGCAACCCGTCGACAAGCCGCGACTGAAGATTCCGATCCCAGGCGCCGAGCCGTGGATTCTCGTGTATACGAAATACGGCCGTCGATTCGCGTACAACCCGACCAAGAACGCGAGCTACTGGCGCATTCCGGAAAAGCTGATGCCGGCAATTCTTGAGTTGGACACCGCACGGATCCGGCAAAAGGCGGAAGGGAAAGAAATAGAATCACACAATGGAGGCAAGGATGCGGACGCGCAGGGGGGTGCCACCGCAGCTGCTCGCCCTTCGGCCCCATCCCCACAAGCGGAAGAACAAGCGACGCACGAGTACGACAGCTCGGAGTATGAAGAAGTCGAAGTGACAGATGACGAGGGCGCAGAAGGAGACGAGAAAAACCAAGAAACAGACGGGGAAGGTCACGCCCGCAAGCGACAACGCACCGAAGAGCCGCCAGCCGACACCGGACCGGCTGAGTTTACCGAGGCCGACATAGCAGCACAGCTCGCGGCCATGGGCGCTGGGTATTATGGCAAGGACGATGTCGCGATGGGCGAGGGCGTTGAGGGTGAGGAGGAATGGGAGGAAGGCGACGAAGGACTCCCACTCTCAGATGAAGACGCGCGCCTGCTGTTCAAAGACCTGCTCAACGATTTTCGCATCAACCCCTACAGTCCCTGGGAGAAGCTCATTGAAGAGGGCAAAGTCTTTGACGATCCACGCTACAGCGTGCTTCCTACGACTAGAGCTCGTCGCGAGGTCTGGGAGGAATGGTCGCGGGCCAAAATCCAAGAGAACAATGACCGGCGCGTCAAGGAAGAAAAGAAGGATCCGCGCATACCATACCTGGCTTTCCTTCAGGACAAAGCCACGCCCAAGCTGTATTGGCCTGAGTTCCGGCGCAAATACAAGCGCGAGGCCCCGATGAAGGACCCCAAACTTCACGACCGCGACCGTGAACGCTTTTATCGCGAGCACATCGGCCGGCTGAAATTGCCGAGTACCACACTTAAGGCAGATCTGCGCAAACTCCTAGTGTCGGTGCCACTGTCGACCCTCAACAACACGACTGACCTTTTGACTCTGCCCCCCCAGGTGCTGTCCGATATCCGGTACATTTCCCTCGACCCGTCCATACGCGATCCTTTCGTGGAAGCTTATCTCCAGGATCTCGGCCCACCCCCTCTCGCGGGCGGCGAGGGTGCGGGTGATGGCGAGGACGACGCTGTTAAAAAGTCCCACGGGGAACGACTCAAGCGGGAGAAGGCATTGGAGGAACGGCAGCGGGCCGTGGCCGAGGAGAAGCGACGGCAGGAGAAGCGGGTGCAGTACGAACGGGCGCGGCTGCGGGACGGGGAGCGCGAGATTGAGAGGGCCATGCATGTGGACAAGAAGGGGCTGCAGAGCCAGTTGACTGGGGAGTTGGCGAAGACATAGTGGCGGTATAAGGACTGGCTAGTCAATTAACCTTACTTTACTCCGTAATCGATATGTCAAACGCCGCGCAATGCTACAATGCACAACATGTCATAAACACCAGTGCTACCAAATCCGCTTCGCTACCATTTCGTACCGCATCACCCTCCCGAAATCTTTCTCCTTCTCCTTTTCCACATTCCATTCCGCCCGTTTTTCCTTCTCCTGGGCCTTCCTTAGCCCCTCTGTATCATCCCCAAAAATCCACCGCCGCCTCTCATCCCCCACCTCCACCTGGCCGTATCCACCGCTGCGCTTGCCGCGCGCGTCGAATGACTCCCGTTCCGCTTGGCCCACTGCAACGGCATGTTCCTTAACTTTCATCCGTGCATACCGGCGTCGCGCATACTGTAGAAGGACCATGCCCAGGACGAGCTTCACAATCAACAGAACGAGGAAGATGAGGAGGAAAACGACGACCATCGTCACGGCTGCGATGATGTCGTCGCTGGAGAATGGGAGATATGAGAACCATCGGCCGGGGTAGGACGCAGTGCCGGCAGCGCCGGAAAAGCCGGCCGTTGCGTTGTCGCCAAAGTCGGCGTACGGGTAGCCGAATACGGAGCGGCCGAGGGCGTTGCGGATCAGGTGGTCGATGCGGTCGAGGGCGGCAAGCATGGCTGGGGACGGGGCTGCGTTCTCGACAGACAGGGAGGTTTGGGTGGTGGGAGGTAGAGGTGTGGGGAGGTGCGTGGCTAGGAACATGTTGTAGATTTGCACCGTGGCGCGGATGAAAAGGCAGGACAGCGGGAAGAGGGGAAGGCCCAAACGGCGGGTGAGGGTGGGTGTTACAAACGCCTAACAGACAGTGTCAGTAAGACAGAAAGTTTACGGCGAAGAGGGGGGTAATGGGGGACTCACGTTGGTGTAATAGTCCTTACACAGGATGTCGAGGATCCGGGAGTAAAACGCCGGCTGGATATTGTTGAACTTGTTGATGTAGGCATGCTTAATCCAGTCGACAATCATCTCGCTGCCTATGACAACGATGAAGGGAGAAAGCACCTCACCGGACCACAGCCATGATGGGAGAATAGTGAAGCTGGCAGGTAGAATCGACGAAGTGTGGAGCGGAATGCTGCTAGGGCCGTTGTCCTCGCTGCCTGCGCCGGGCACTGACAACCCACCGACCTCGACAACATTGCGCATCCCAATGATGATCAACATGATCCACAGCTGGAACCTCTCGACAATGTCGGCGCACGTGAGCTGGAACATGTTCTCCTTTTCGAACCGCTTGAACACCGCGCTCTTGATCTCGACGAACTGGTTGGAGAGCAGCAGCGTGAGGAGTGCGTTGGAGTACGAGTTGACGGCCACGTTGAGTGCGATGACCTGGTAGAAGAGAATGACGGCGTGGAGGACGTTGTACACGAGTGCCAGCAGGAACATGCCAAGTGGCAGCATTACCTTGGACCGACCGGAGCTATTCCGGGACAGTGTCTCGGTGCTAAAGAGACACTCGAAGATATCCTGTCCTAAAGCTGAGAGTAGTCGGTCGCCTACTTCGAGGAGATTGTAAATGGCATACAGTTTGATGGCGGATTGCGCGCGGATAAAATGGTACATCCGGCTGGCATCGAGGTTCATGAGGGCCACGGAGCTGCAAATGAGGATGGCACCTTGGAGGAGATCAGCCTTGTGGAAGGAAGTTAAGTTGGATGGGCTCGACTTGGTCCGACGGTGCCGTAGTGTGCCCGGCGCCCGGCCGCTCTGCTTTGCCGGAGCTGAGTTGTTCCCTGCGGCCCCGGACGGGCGGCGCTGGCCTCGACGGCGGGAGGAGGCTTGGGATCCGGCTCTGCTACCCTCCGAGGTGTACGTCTTGTTATCGGCCCCCTCTCGCACTCGGCTTCGGCTTCTTGATTCCCCAGCCCGGGCTTCTAACCCTCCGACACTCGATTCAGCCGGGCCCCGACGACCTCTCTGCCACATACGCCCGAGTCCATACCATACAAACCCGACCAGCCAACGCAGCTCTTTCCCGATGACATATGCCCACCAACCCACTAGGACGGAGGCTGCAATGCAGAAGCGCATCGGCAGCACAGTGAATGTCCAGAGCCAAGCATCAAAACAGGCCGCAGCACCAAACGCCATGCCGCCCTCGAGGTAAAAAGGCAACAGCAGGAAGTTCTTGAGCCGTTCAAACTTGATAGCGCTGGACTCATAGGGCATGTCGCTTGTGTACGACTGGTGGATGTAAAGGGGGCTGGGCCGCTGAGCGGCAAGTTCCAGCTGAAGCAGCGTAGGTATGGACATGGGAGGTAGTGGTATCGCGGGAGCAATGATCGGCGATGGAGGGGCCCGTCCGGCGTTTTCGTTCCGGGTCTGCCCATTTGTTTGGTCTGTTGATGGAGCGTGGTTGCTCCGACTGCTAAGTTCGGGGGCCGCAGGCCGGGGGCCGGGCTGGAACGAGTTTCGGCGGGGCGAGTGCTGTGGTGTGGGCTGGGTCGTTGTCCTACGTCGCCCCATGGGTGGTGTGGACAGTGTACGGCCACTTATGCTGGGACGGCCGTGCCCTGTCGTTACCGCCACTGCATCCTCGGGTTCCCCAAGTTGCGGAAAACTCGCGGGCGCTAGCGGCTGTGATGGCCGCTCTTCTGTTGCTCGTGAGAGCCGCCTGCTTGCCCCCGCAATACCAGCAGTGAGGGGAGGTTCGCCTGCGGCCCGTACCGGCGCGGCGCCTACGGGCAATGACTCAGGAGCAGCAGTCAATTCCTGTATCTTGGAGGCCGATAGGCGCCTCACACCGTCCGGGTTGCTCGTTTTGGTGTTGGATCTGCTTCGGGTTTTCGTGACGCTATTGGGATCCTTTCCGGCCGCCGGATCGCTCGCGACGGCCGGCTTGTTTGGCGACTCTCCATCGCTCTGACTCTCGCTCGACGGGTCTGGCGTTGGGACACCGATGGGCGGATTCGAGACGGTTCGGGTTCGTGGAATGCTTGTATCGGTGTCGTGTTTCGGGGGGAGGTCGCTCGGGGTTAACGTGGGGGAAGGTAAATGGGAGGTAGCCTTCTGCAAACCCTTCTTGTTTTTCTTCTTGTGCTTGGATTTCCCCGCGTCTTTACTTGTCGACGTACCGGTCGTGTCGGGTATGTCGGCAGCCCTCACCGAGGCTGGATGCTGCGGTTCCTTCGTTTGGGCGGTCTCCATTGCGTTGTCGTCCCATGAAAGCGGGAGATCGAGCCTAATCGCACATGCCGGACGCGAGGTCGTCGAGCCAGGCTGTACACAACTGGGTTGGTGATCCGGATATACGCTAGGCGACGCGATCCGCGATGCACAAAGGCCAGGTTGGAAAGTCGGGCGATAAGCGACGTTTGGCGGCGGACCCCTGCAGAAAATCCACAGCAGGGCAGCTGCTCCCGTCTTGGCGCAATCGCGCCGGGCCCTTTGGAAGGGCCCCACATGCCACCTGTTGTTTCAATCGAACATCTGGATCCCATTTGAACTCGGGAGCTCCCAACGAACCGTGACGTGCACCTTCGTCCAATTGAGATATCTTCTTCGGTTCGATCTCAACGCCGCTTATGTGCATCATGGTTTCGGCTTTCGTCTTTCCGCGTGACACGAACACACAGTGAAGCCTGGGGACCACAGGTTATCGAGACAATGAGGCACGCGCGGGGGTGTCACATCGTCGGATGTTGTCCGTCCAATTCCTCGATGCGGGGGTATGGGTTGGAAGGAGAGACCGAGGTTCCTGCTGGGATGTCCTAGGCAGGAAGTGTTGTACGCACGAGGGTGGACGATCTTTTTAGCAAACCCGAGGAATAGCGAGATCGAGCCACCTCAGTCGGTGTCGCCTGGGCACCGAAAAACAAAAACAAAAGGCCTGGTGCAGGACACAGACGCGTATCCAGAGATGCCTCGAGCGGGGTTTCCTGTTGGAGGTTTTGCCGCGCTTCAGGCTCTGATAGCCGCTTCAGGTGGCCCTGAATGACGGAACCGGTGGGGTTCGATTCGTGCTGGATAGAGGGGAAGAAGGAAGCACGGCGGCCTTTACACAGTAGTTACCATACAACTGGAGAGATGAGACACGTCGTAAACGGTAAGAGGGGTCTTCAGTCCTCGGATCCGACGGAACACAGCAAGCTCGAAACTGCTTTGGGGGCCGAGTCAAGTTTCTATTTCTTCATCGGACCCCGCCCGTTGTTTCCGCCCGCGAGTTTTAATAGCCCAATTTCACTTGGCCTTCAATCTCCCGCGCCAGTTTCCCAAGCCTGACGATACCTACCAGTTTGAGTCGATTTCCAAAGTCAACATCACGATATTAATTCGCTATGGCTTCGAACCCCCCCGCGCGATGCTGCACTATCGGTGTTAAGCATGAGTATGTTGCGGCTGTGTTTCCCTCATTTTACCTCTCGTCTTGCGGAGGGTTTGGACATTAGCTGACTGCTTGCCCCAGAGGCGAGCCGACTGGCAAGGCAGTTCGTGTTGCAGACAAGCACGATGCGTACCTCGCGACCCCACCTGCCGACAAGGAGCACAAGGGCGTCGGCATTTTGATCATCCCAGATGTCATTGGCATCTGGCAAAACAGCCAGCTCATCGCCGATCAGTTCGCCGCCAATGGCTACTTGACCTTGCTGCTTGACGTCTTCGAGGGCGACCCCGTGAAATTGAACCGCCCTGCCGGCTTCGACATCATGGAGTGGCTCACCAAGGGTACCGATGGTAAAACCCCGCACACTAAGGAGGCTGTTGACCCCATTATCCTGGACGGCATCAAGGCGTTGAAGGAGGAATACGGCATACAGAAGATTGGTGCGGTCGGCTACTGTTTCGGAGCCAAGGTCAGTCGAGATACACTCCTAAGGGAAACATGAAGTAGGGAGCGCTCAGCGTTTTGACACTCGCGCAGTATGTTGTGCGGCACTATAAAAACGGCATCTCCGTCGGCTATGTTGCCCACCCCTCGTTCGTCGACGAGGATGAGCTGGCCGCCATCACCGGTCCCTTCGCCATCTCCGCCGCCGAGACAGATAGCATCTTCACGAATGAGAAGCGCCACCGATCAGAAGAAATTCTCAAGGAGGTCGGACAACCGTACCAGATCAATTTGTACTCCCAGGTCGTGCACGGCTTCGCCGTGCGTGGCGATATGTCCATCCAGGCCGAGAGGTTCGCGAAGGAGCAGGCCTTCCTGCAGGCGGTGACCTGGTTTGACGAGTTCCTCCTCTAAGTGTCAGTAGGGTGGGTGTTATTGGTTCCACCGAGAATTGCAACGTGTTTTCCATGGGCGGCGCGGATGCTTGAGCTAGTAATTCGTTGCTATGTCTTTCGTTTCGGAGGTGTTGGTAGAACAGTAGCTCTGAAAATGATGTGGTCCCTCACGCACGCACCGACCCTTGTCCTTTGCGCCCGCTGGATTGGAAAGCGACGACACTGGCGCTCCCCGCTGCGGAGCGGCAGTTGTGGTGTTCGGGCATCGGGTTGAGTCACGCCAACTTTAGCGCGAGCGACTCGCCGAAGATGATTATCGCACCGAAGGGAAAGTCCGTGAACATGTGACAATTTGCTCCCCGTTGAAAAAGAAAGCTGTTTATTCCAAAGGGGGTGACGCGTCCCACAATCCCCACCCTAACACACTGTTGCCGGCAGCTAAGTCACGGCAATTGACAATGTCGGCAAGGACGGCGCTAAAGTCTTCAACGGCAGCCACAGCAAGGACAAGGTCAGGGTAAAAGGGGATTTCGGGATTATCTGGTAGCTTTCGCGCAACCTCCAATGCCACTTTGGGGCGGAAACATGAGCGAAGGTAGCTAAATTGGTGATGAACCCGGCAAAGGCAGTGGTGGGAGAAGCGCATCCATGCAACGATGTCGAGAATGCCCAGCTCCAGTGATCATCAATCAGGTCGCCCCGTCGTTCATGCTATCACTGACCCGGCGCCCTTCACGGGCCGACGACGGACCACAGAAGGCGTGCTGCAAAAGTGAGAAAACAAAAGGGACAACCCCCGTCGCAACTTACCCCGGTTTGCCCGCCCAGAAAGCTGTTGACTCGAATTTCGGGGGTTCTCGAGGCAGAGCCCAGGAAACTCGACCAGGCCAAGCCGGCCAACACCGGCTTTAACTTGTCTTTCATCCTCGATTTTCCAGTGTTCCCAGAGCTTTACCAAAGCTACCCTTGAGGAGCGTTATCAGATCGTGCACAGATCAAAGGAAATGTCCCAGACCTGTGGAAAGGTCTGCCCAACCAGAACCTCCCTTGTTTTCGAAATTTCCAGGCTTGCCGAGGTGGTGACCCCGCTAGGTAGTCAGGTCTCGACCGTTGCGGGCGCACGGGCGACAGCCGAAGTTGTCAAGCCACGCGAGGCACAGGGGCCAGGGGCAGCCCCCAACAAGGGCATGAACAATGGGGGCCAAAGCGCAAAGCACGGGCGAAACTCCGGCTTTTCTTCTCATCCTTCGTTTGACACGTTTTACCACCAATGGCATGCTCCCCCCCTGGTGGACTTCGCAGCTTGCGCGACCACCCCGAAACGGCTGCCGGTGCTGCAACTGTTCCGCAACACCGTGGGAAAGCGGTGCGTGTCTCCGGAGAGCGAAATTGGAAATGGTCCGCGGTCGGCGGGAGCCTGCAGCAATCGCCGATCGCAAGACGCATCTCGTGGCGTGTTTTCTTCCCATTCCACCCATCAGGAAGACGGGGAAAGAGGATGAAGAGAATGCAAGGGAATAAACGAAGGGAGTGACGCCCCATCAAGTGGCTCGTCGTTAGATGCCAACCAGCAGCTTCAGTTTGATGACATCGCCCGTGGGCTGTAAAAATAAATTGGCCCAGGCACCACCAGCAGTGGAAGCGAGAGCGGGCCGCTTCTAGCACATCCAAGAGAACCAAAAACTCTGCACGCCACAGCACTCTCCACACCCACACCAGAGCAATTGTTCTTCTCCAAGAACGTTAGTGTACATAGTAGTGTAGGATGCCCCCCTGCGTGTCTTGTCTGTGCGTACATCTTTCTGTCTCCGGACGTCCCGGCGAGAGTATCAGAAACTGCCCCCCGGGCATGCGAAAGCGAAGCCGTTAAACCCGGAATTTTCGAGCTCGCCAAGAAAGTTAGCAGTGCCCTCACGAGCTGCATGCTGGATTAGCGAGAGGTAACCGAAAGCAGCGAAAGCCAGGCGAAGTTGGAATGAAACAGGAATGAGAACACCCCGCACACAGTCTGTTTGGTGGAAACGGACGTGGTCTTCCTCCTTGGTGACTTCACTCTCATCGTGCCCCTGGACCATCTTGCCATCTCCCACTACGAACTACTCCATGCGAATCTTACTCCGTTCTCACCTATAACCCCGCGAACCCCGTCTCATTGTTCGGCAATGCTGGGGGCTGGTGACCGATGCCGGTTTCTTGCGTATTTTGCCTCATTACTCGATCTCACCGCACCGCCATAACAATTGACCGGCTTCGCAAAGCCCGCCAGAGATGAGACGGCACGGACTAATAACAAGACAACAGCCGCCGCCTTCTTCCAGCGACGGACGATCTCACGAGGACCTGGGACCCCAACTCAACACTATTTTCTGGCTGCTCGCATCGCTCGCGACATTCTTTCTCGCGCTACGGTTCTACTGTAAACTGCAACGTGGTCGGCATCTGTGGTGGGATGACTATGTTTTGGCCGCGTCATGGGTACGTTGTTAGAGAGGGACGGAGCCCCCGTTCAGAGAGGACCTCGTGCTATGAAAGAGGAAATGGAAGGAGAATGAGTCAGGCTGCCAACACGCTGACCATGGTGAACCCCTCCGTTATTGCAGATCTCCCTAGTTGTTTCTGCAAGCACAACATCTGCCTGTGTGGCGTTAGGTTACGGAAAGAACCTGTACGACATGAACCCGGACAACCTCCCCACCATGCCCTTCATTGCCGTGTTCGCGGGGTTCTTCTCCGTCCTTGCCGCCGCCTGGAGCAAGACTTCGTTCGCTCTCACCCTGCTCCGTCTCAGCCAGGCTTGGGTCATGAAAGCGGTCATTTGGTTTATCATCGTCACCGTCAACGCAATCCTCGGGACCGCTATGTTATTTATGTGGATCAAGTGTCGGCCGTTTGCTAAAATCTGGGATGGTAGCTTGGAGGGGTGGTGTATTGACCCGGCTAACATTGTTATTTTGTACCAGTGGTCTGCGGGTGAGTTGCATCGGGAGAAAGGAGGGTGCTTGTGAAAGATATTGCCACTAACAACTAAGACCAGGTTGGTCAGGCGGTGCCGATTGTCTTCTAGCCCTCATGCCGTGGGCTATTCTTTACAGAATGCAACGGACGCTCGATATCAAAGAGCGGGTTGGGATTGGCATCGCGATGAGCATGGGTGTTGTGTATGGGCTATTCCAGAACCCTCTAAACCCTTAAAACGGGCTGGCTGATGCATTTTAGGGCGGGCGCCGCTTCCTTCGTCAAGCTGGCCATGTTGCCGAATCTGACGGGAAGTCCAAG